GGAAGCGCAGTAAGTCCGTTGGCAAGCATTAGTCATATGAAAAATTCTGAAGAAAATCTTATCTACAACCTGACAACTTTATCAGAGACAAAACAAAGATTGACAACTTGTCAGCCACACAGTGAAGGCTCACATGCCAATTATCAATATCGGTAAATTATTAGTCTTTTAAATTATTAGTTTACTTTATGTCTTTTAGGAAAACAGATCTTGCAGGGGTCCTGTCCTGTTAGATTCGATCTTATCTCTTAGTTGACGTTTTTCAAATTTACGTTCAAATTCGAAGTCTATAAAAGAACTTCATCAATATAAAGAGAGCATCGATCGGCCGATAGCTCTCTCTTGAATATCAATTGAATAATTCAGAGAAAAATCATCCTTATCTTATCTTATCTTATCTATCTCATGAACGAATTTCTTAGAAAGCTCAGAAAATCAAACCATCTCAAATGCTCTACCGATGAAGAAGAAAGTTCAAATGAACATAGAAGGGGAGACAATCTCACCATCTCAAATACTGTCAATCAAGAATATCAGATTGCCAGAATCGAAGATCAACTCCAAAATTGGACTATTCCAAAGGTAGATTCTAAAACTGTCTATCAAATTTCGACCTTCAATTTTACTCAAAGATCATGCATCAAATTCTCAGAGAAGAACATCCCAATTCATAGCAATAGGGAATCTCTAATCTTTTTTCAAGATCTCTTATACTCCAACATCGTGAAGAGTTTAACTATCTCCATATCGGACTTGTCCAAGTCGCGGTAAAACCATTGTTCAGACTCAGATTAGATATCCCAGTCCTTATCTCCTTACGAGATAAGAGACATGAAGATTTCTCAAATTCCTTGTTGGGAATGGTTCAATCCAATTTAGAGAAGGGACCAGTCTATTTCAATTGTTATCCAAACTTTACTCTGTCTCTCCACGACCCACACATATTATCAGCTCTCATGCTATTTGAACATCAAAGCTGAAACCCATTCTTCCGTCGTCATATTCAGGGTTTATTATAAGCTCATGAATACGAACATTTCTCCAAGAGCATTAAGATCCTCACCAAAAGGATCGACTATGCTCATAGAAGCAAATATTGGAAAATCATCAATGACTGTTCCAAAAACACTCTCTTGGGATCAAATAACCAGAAGTACTCTCTGGAAAATAGAAGATGCAAATCTTCCAAAAAGAAAAGAATCTCAAAATCCAGTCCAAATCATCGAACATGACGATGGAAGCGTTGAAATAAAATTCAGCGAAGAATCTTCGTCAGAGTCGAAAGTAAAAGAATTCCTGAGTTCTAGACCAAGTACTTCAGGAATATCAAGATCAATGTATGACCCCTTAAAGGTAAAAGAGGTCAGTTATGATCAAAAAAGGGCGTCAGTCCACTATGAAGATGGCTCAAGGTCTCCAACCCATACGGATATGGATACTCAATCTGTCTACGAAAGCCAGCTAAATGTCATTACAGCTGATTTCCAGATAGACAAAGAATTCTTGAAAGCAGATTTTATGTCAACTACCAACTCTTCAAAAAGAAATGCCTTCTTCCAAACCTACAAAGAAGTTGAGCGAAATGATTTAAGAGCTCAATGGTATTCTCATATGGAAGCCATAGAAGAAAATATACCATTCTTCGAATGGTTTGAAGAAAATATTTTGCAGATATG